CCATATTCTCCCCTCACAAACATTTTGTGGTTGTATAAAACAGAAAGACTAGCAATATGAATAGAATGCTGATTTAAAAGTTAGGAAAGGTTTTAGTCCTCTAAGTGACTTGTAAGAAAATGTTTTTAAAGGCTCCTTATGAAAATCTTGTCTTTCATTTCTTCATATATATTGTTGATTTAATTTCAACCTTAATGTTGGGAAAAGGTGCCTGTGTATTTTTAAAATCAGACATTTGACACACTTGATGACTTGTTCTAACTCAAAGCAGTTATTAATAGGAGGGCACCCCTGAGAACGCTCAAGTCTAGTGCACTCCTGTGTATCTGTATACAGCTAACTTTAAACACAGTGTCTTTGCCACTAATTACTGATCTCCTTTCTATACTGAAAAAAAAGCCATTTCATTCTGCTGCCTTAGTCACTCATCCACCCCCCACAAGTCTCTAAATTTGTAACTCATCCATAATGCATAGTAATAGCTGAGAGCTCAGGTTTTAAATCGTGACTCCAGATTACTAGTGTGATGTTGAGTAATGTGCTTTTAGTTCTCCATGCCTCAGTTTCCCTATTAAATAAACCTCCTGAATTATCTATGATGAATGGGAGATAATGTCATCGTATTATAATGCCTGAAAAGTTTTGACTTGATAATTTGCCTTGTAAATTCACTGTAACTTGAATAAACATATTATTTAATAAAGATTTTGTGTGGGTAGGTATGTCCATTAAGAGAAATGTACTTAATTTACTAAATCATTCCACAGTTTATGTGACACATTATTTGATGATAAAGATTCTAAGTAACAAAACTCTCCTTTCTACTTGAGATTGGTTTGTATGGAGAAAAAATACTATATAATAGGTGGCATTCAACTAATCTACTGTGTTACTTTGACAATATAACAAGATTTATAGTTAATGAATTTCCATACTCTTGAAGATACTTTTATATACCTTGCACCATTTCTGAATTTATGGTTGCCTGTTTTAAAGTAGCACTCCCTTCAGAGAGTGTGGTAACAATCGGAAAATTCCCTATCAGTAGACCAGCATCATCTTGACAGCTCTGTGTTCTGCTTCCACCTTGCTAATTGTTTCCTTGGGATTATTTGGATTGTGTAGAAAGCTTTTGCAAATCCTCTTATTACTGAAGTCATTGTTGCCAGCAGGAATAAGATTAAAGGTGCTTAAGTCTGTAGAGTTGTTTCTAATTTGTACGTGTCATTTCAGTGGCATTTTTACAGAACTCTGTCTCCTGTCCCTCCCTTCTCCCCTGGTACTATCTTAAGTTAGGTCCTAGAAGCCAGGCCATTGGAAGAAATCTCATTTTATCCTCCTAATTATTATGCTGGCACTCAGGAGATAATTTTTCCCTTCATGCACTGCCAATTAATATGCAAATGGACTGATAAATATTTATGCATGATTTAAATTATGCAGGGAGTGCTTTCAGTGTATTCTGTAAATGAATTGTTCGTGGACTTCAAAGTGCTGGCTGCAGTGCTAACGAGGAGAGATTTGCATAAGGCCCTAATCACGCGCATACTGATTAAGCTTCATTATGGAAACTGCCAGCTGCAATCTTTGTTTCTATTTTATTACAAAAAGGGGAACTTTTCATGCTTCAGTTGCCTTGATAATGTCAGTTCTTGCTGGTAGGAGAGACTAAAACTCCTCTGAGCAACTGAAGTTTCCTTATTCAGTTGAAGATTGCTATGGTGTAACTGAAGAAGTTGTATTTTGCTTCTCCCCTTAATCACTACCCCCAACCCCACCCTTATTCTGTTAAGAACATAGATTTGTTAGAAATAATAGTACCTTCTTTCCCCCATCCCAAACTGCTACCTGTTTTCTTCCTTGTTTGGACTATCTGCACCTCTAGAAGATTTCACAGCAATGCTGGACTGCAGTGACTATGTTCTAGGTGGGTACCAGCACAGTTCTTTTCTTACAGGCTTTAATATGGAAATAGCATGTGTGGGGTTGACTATGCATAAATGCTTAATCACTTATGCAACCAGTGCAGGGGAGGGGGAGAGCTGGGTTGAGCTGGGAAGGAGGAAAGGATTTGCAAAACACAAGCATACTTGAATTTGTAGTAGGTCCCTCCCTGTGACTAGCTTTTCTTGTTCAGAGGATTGGGTATTTTCAGTAACTAGCATGGATTTAGAATTCAGCTTGAGTGAAGGATAGTTTTGATTTTTGGAAATTTTTATTGAGAGCATGTCATGTAGTTCTAAAAACATTTTAAATCTAAAACAAGGTATAAACTGTACTTACATATTAATAAAATTAATCAAAATGTTTTTCATACCTAATGAGAATGTCTTATACAAAATACACACATGCTTAGTAAAAAAATAAGGTGGAGTCACGGTGCAGAATTGTTTCCATAAATATTAATGCAGAGTGTAATTGTACTGGTTACTGCAGTAGATGTGTTGATCACTTTTCCAATTTTTGAAACTATTACCTGTAGAAAACTATAGTTTTAAATGTTAGAAAGACCTTTTAACTATATAAACCATCTTTGGTGATTAAGATTTAAAAGAGATTGAGGTGCGTTGGTTTTTAGACAACTGATGGTTAATGGTGGCCGTATTATTTTGTGGAGTGTTATATGTTTATGTGCAGTTATTAAAACCCTGGAAGGCTAGGTGATAAACTCTAGGACTTAGATATCTTACCTTTAAAACTTTTGCAAGAGACCTTTTTTCTGTATGTTATTTTCCCCACTTAAAAATTGAGTCTTTTCCTATCACCTGGAATAAAGTAAAATGGTATTTCTGAAAATGTTTGAATTATTATGCAAAGGTATGGCCTAAACCCAAGGTAGTATAAGTATTTGTCTAGCGAGGTAAAAGCCACTATGTAATGAGTGAGTGACACAAGCAACAAATTTATGCCAAGAATTCAATTAATTGGCAATTTGTAAACTGTATTAGAGTCATTACATACAGTTAGCTCGGTGACATAGACTTATATTTTTTGTATTGATCAAAGAGAGAGAATACTCTAAATATCATAAAAGAGTTTACCTATATTTACTCTTTTACATTTGCTAAGTTGGGAGCTCAAGAAAAGAAAGAAAAGTGTGTGTATCTTTTTGAAATATTTTTAGAATTTTTTTAGAATTAGAAATTATATCTATTATTTTCAGTTAATGGTATATATAGTTTAAACAGTCTCCCCATTGTACAGTTAATAAGAATTTTATTCTTTTATTCTTTTTTGTGTGAAGTAATTTTGTTAAATGCCTTTGAAGCTCTTGACAATTCAATGAAAGATTATGAGAAGAGTCACATAAAATACCTGTGTTGTAATTTATAGATGATGATTAGGATACGAATTGTACAAGCTCAGGCTCCTGACTTGTTAAGGAATTATGCTGGCTTCCTTTGTGTCTGTGATATCCGTGTATGTGGGAAAACGTTATCCTTTTTATGAAGCTAACTGATTCATCCTTTTTTCCACTTTAAAATTCCTTTTAAAGGAAGCATTGAATAGTGTATATGATTGTGTTACATTTATTGTGATCTTTGTTGGCTTTCATAAGTTAAGTCATTCAGAAAGCTGCTTTTCACTAAGTTGTACACCTGTTCCTTTCAAACCTTAGTATGCTTTCAGATGATACTTAAGTTTTTCTGAACAGTAGGGGTGAAGGAAGTTGCAGAAGCCCTCATTTATGACCACAGACATATGAATTTTAACCCTTGGATCATCTGAAGAACAAACCAGAGATACACGGAGGTACTTAAGCCCAAAAAACAAGCATCAGTTACAAACATTTACTATACTAGAGAAGATAGGTTGGAAATAAAATTTATGAGAAGAGGACTCCAGATTAGTTTCTCATCCCTTATGCATGTGGATAATGCAACTGTGGACAACATAGTTGGGACTACTGTCTGATGATTGTTTTGATTTCCTAGTTAGTTGATTAAGCAAAGGACAAAACATGTTCTTTGGTCAAAAAAAACCAAATGATAGTTTTAAATATTTGTTCTCCTTTAGTGACTATAGTTAAATGGTTTTTAACTCAGTGGGAGGGAAACAGGAACTCCTGTGATAGTAAACTAGTTTGATTATAAATATTCTAAGTTTGAGTTTGCAGTAGATGTAGAATAAAATGTATGTTGAGATGTATTCAGTTTTTTACCCTTTCAGACAGGTAACAGAAGAATAGAGTTGTTCTTGTCACTTCTCTTTCCTTTCTTCTGAGATACCTATTGCTTGATGAAAACTTTTTACTGTGGAAACAAACTTTCATTTAATAGGTACTCTGGAAAAAATAAACCCAAATTAGCAGGCTCATTGAGGATATTGAAGTAGTAAAATTTTTAAGTGGGTGTGGTTGATTAGATTTTGAAATTACTATATATATTTCTTATGGCTCTGACACAGCTTATATTGGTTATGATTGAGGTATGAATTTGACATATTCTTTCCTTGTTTCTAGTTTGGTTGGGGAAGGGAATAAATGTGGAGGTATTTTTCTTAGACATGTTTTCTGTGGTCTGTTAGGTTGAGCTATCTCTTCTACTGTCAAGATTAGCAATAGATTGTTTTGGTTATCTTTGCTTATAAAGTTATAATAAGATAATTTTAATTGGGAATTTTTTTTTTTAACTTTTTGAGTAGTTTCTTCTTACTCCCAGTTTTATTTCTTTAGCATTTTATCCTTAATGGTAAAGCATTTACTTCTATTACATATTAGACTCTCTAATATAAGACTTTTCAGAGTGGGATCTATTGCTTTTCTTAGAAGAACCCTCAAATTCTTTAGAAAGAATTATTTATGGATCCCTTCAGGGGCTAAGGAATCCTGGATTTCCTTCAGATAACCTTTTATTACAATTTCTGATGCTTTAGCCTGACATGTATTCACTGTGTCTCCTTGTCTATAAGGTTAGTTAACCCTTTCCTCTGCCATGATTTGCTTCTTTAATCCCATCTCAAACTTTTAAAATTTTACTTTCACTTCTGGTTTATTGCAGACTCAAGAATGAACAATCCGTCAGAATCCAGTAAACCATCTATGGAGAGTGGAGATGGCAACACGGGTAAGAGATAGTTCTCTTATCTAGCTTTTAATTAGATCTGGTTTCTACTAGAGCCAAAAGAAGACACTTCCCACTACTAGAACTTGTGTTTGGCAAATACAGACTAATTTGAGTACTGAGTTATTAAATATGATTTAGTACTTGCAGGAACCAGGATTATGTTTGTTTAAGATTATCTACTTTTCTTTGCAGATTGCTTCATCTTTTTGCTTTCATCTATCAGAGAAACAACAGGTAGTTCCAAGAATTATCCTTTGACTCAGATAGTTCTGGGTATAAATTAGATTTGCCACTTACAAGCTATGTGACTTTAGGCAGTTTCTCCAGTTTTTTTGAGGCATAATTTATTCAGTTACAAAATGGGGATAAAATATTTCAGAGGTCATTGTGAGTATTAAGGAGATAATTTATGTGAAAAGCAAAGCAAAGTGCCAGCAGCACAGTAACCATTCAGTAAAATGTAGCTCTTATTATAGGTGTTAATCAAAATACTATATTTTATCTAGTATAGATTTGATATAAATTGTATTAAAGTTATGATAGTGTCAGTGGGTAGTTATAAAGATATATATGCTTTTATTTGGTAAGTTTTTTAAAAATTACCCTTGATTAAAACTTTTATCACAAGAAAATTAATTATCATGTAAATAGGAATACTGAGGCCCCATGAAAGAAAGGTAAATCTAAAAGGATAGATTGTATCTACAGTCTATACTCTTAATTCAATGTATTGCTTAGAGGACTTTTGACTGTGTGCCTTTATTATCTGCCAGAGATGGTAGGGGACTTCCCCAGTTTCTGATAACAGCCAAAATAAAATTCTAAACCAAATGAGAAGAGAATTATGGGCAAGGATGCACAGAAAGTAACTGTTCCTAATGTAAACTAGTTTTTTCACTCTCAGGGTTCTCTCTTTGGCCATCATTTTGTAAAATGCCTAACTCTGTGAGGTGGTAAGAGTCAGAGGCACTTTTGGAGTCTATCTTTGTTTTCTACTTCTATTGGCCATAAAACCTTTAATTTCCTACCTACATGTCTTCCTTTGTAAATTGTCCTATATCTGGAGATGCTTATATTTAACTTTTAATTTCTTTTTAATATCTGAAATGTCTCTAACTCTTTATGTGAAACTCATCTGTGGAGTTTTCATGTTCATCCCTGTTGCATTTAATGTATTTCTTTCTTTTCTTTTCTTGTCTTTTTTTTTTTTTTTTTTTTTTTTTTGAGTCAGAATCTCACTCTGTTGCCCTGGGTAGAGTGCTGTAGCATCATAGCTCACAGTAACCTCAAGAGTTCCTCTTGACTAAGCCTCCTGAGTAGATGGGACTACAGGCACCTGCCACAGTGCTCAGCTAATTTTTTTCTATTTTTAGTAGAGATGAGGTTTCGCTCTTGCTCAGGCTGGTCTTGAACTCCTGAGCTCAAGGGCTCCTGGCACTTTGGCCTCCCAGAATGCTAGGATTATAGGCATGAGCCACCACGCCTGACCTGTTTAACATGGTTTGTGTTACTCTAACTAAAGCTAACCAAGTAGACTACTGTAGTATCTTCTTTGAAGGGGAGAATAGCACTACATTGTGCCGGAATTGTCAGCCACAGTCTTCCTTTCTGATATTTCTCTGTCCTCTGTTTGAGCCCTCCTTCCTTTATTTTGTAGCACTGGTTTCTATGCCAATGCAGGTGCTTTGGCCACCTAGCTTATGGTGGGACTTGTTTTCAGAGAAAAGCAGAGCAGTAGATTCCATTAAGAGGCTGAGGAGAGTGGGCAGGACACCTCTGCCTAAAGGACACCTTCAAAGAAGCATATTTTTCTCTCTAAGGGAGGAGAAACCGGTTCACTGAATGATTGGAGAACACTGAAACTATCTACTGCATTACACTCAAGGAATCCCCATATTTTAATATCACTATTCTAACAGCAATTTCAGTAGTGACCACTTACTGAGCATCTGTAACATTTAATAAAACTCCTATGACATGTTTTTAAAAATCTTAAGCTCTATATGCATTACCTGATTTCAATTTAAGGTCTTATGACAAGTCAGATATTATTTTATGGAATAGGGAATCGAGGCACAAAACCAGCCAGGAAATAAAAACAGTTTTAAGATTTGCAGCCTATTTTATCCCATGAACTGAAACAAAATTGAAAATTTAAGCAGCATTTCATATGTATTCACATCTACATAAGAATAATTCTGGCTGGAGCACTTGTTAAAAGTCTTGTGACTTTCTTGCCCCATTTTAATATGAAATGCATGGCACATTCATTCCCACCACAGAACTGAGCAGTATCAATTTAGATTTTTTAGCTTTTAGAAAATTTGTGGTTTTCTGAAATTGCAATTTTGTGGGTAGACTCTAGCACTTTTCTTAGACTTCTTTACTTCCATCACCACCAATAGCGATTGTCTCTTCCCTACAAAAAGGGAAAAATTGTATTGCTTTCTTATAAGGGTTACTGCTAATGGAATGGGTACTTAATACATTGCAGCTGCATGAAATGTGAACTGATCACAGGTCCTCACTCTGAAGTGTAGCCTCTCACTTCCTGTTTATCTACTGTAGCATTTGTTGCTTTAGTAAAATTACAAATTGCTTCCTTTTTATGGACCTTTACATTTACTTTAGAATAATAGAAACTGTGAAGTCTCGTTAAAGATCTGTCATAATAATTCTAGCATCTTCCAGTGATGTCAGTTTGTTAGGTTAGGAATATAGAAAAATATTTGAATTCCAGTTTGCATAATAATATATTAGATATAAAATTCAATTTATGTAGACATAAATGATGCTATGCTTACAAGTTAATTTTATTTAAAAATATAACAAATGCTGGCTTGGTGCCTATAGCTCAGTGGTTAGGGTGTAGGCCATACTGGGTCTGGCGAGTTTGAACCAGCCCAGGCCTGCTAAACAACAATAACAACTACAACAAAAAAATAGCCGGGCCTTGTGGTGGGTGCCTGTTGTTGAGAGCTGTGATGCCCGGCACTCTACCAAGGGTGCCATAATGAGACTCTGTCTCTCAATAAATAAATAAATAAATAAATAAATAAAATAAAAAATATGACAAATGAATCTACATATTATCCAGGTGTCTGTTAGTTTGTTAGTAGTTTATAAAAAAGAAGTAAAAATTTTGAAGGGAAAGAACCCATAGCATTTTAATGAAACCAAAGTCTCACATTTTCTAGATTCAGAATACTTTTATGTAGATCATTTTTCCTGAAATGTTTATGATTGTAATACTTTTAATTTGTGAAATTTTATGGAGAATGGTATTTTAAAGTTATTTGATTGTATTGATGTGTTAACTTCTTTGTCTTTCGTCTGCCAGGGTGATTTATTTGAGAAGCACACCTGATAGTTTAGTTTTGTGAAAGAGCCCTTATAATATGATGTTCTTAGATAATCTATAGCTTAAGTTTATTTATTCAATAAATGCCTGTTCTATATGTAAAATATTACAGTTGGTGTTGTTAGAAGATAAAGTGCAAGTAGGTGAGATACTCTGAGTCTTCAAGGAGTTAACAATTCACTAAGAGATAAATATACAAATAACTGATTTTGGATAGACTGTGGTAAGTCTAATTCAAGAGGGATATAGAAGAGGGCCACAGTAGAATTAAGAAGGTATTTTCTTTTTTTTTAGGAAATTCTAAGTATGTTTGTAGACCAGGCAGAAGGAATCATCAGAAAGGACGAGAGAGAAGAAAAAAAATAACAGGTGGAACCAGGTAGAGGTGAAGGACTAGGATCAAAAGTGCAGAATGCAGAATGAAGGGTTAACTTTGAAAATGAGAAAGATACACCACTTTTTCTAAAATTTGGGAGAAGTAAAGATTAAACAATGACAGGAAAATTGAGGTGGAAAGGAGAAACAAAACTGAGAATAATTCATAATTGCCTCATTTTTCTCATTAAAGTAATTGAGAGGTGATCCTCTGAGAGGACGGCAAGAATAATAGTAATACTGGTAACAACAGCTACTATTCAAATTGAAACAAAGTCTCACTCTGTGTAGAGTGCCCTGGCATCATTGTAGCTCACAGAAATCTCAGACTTCAGGGCTCAAGTGATCCTCTTGCCTCAGCCTCCTGAGTAGCTGAGACTACAGGCACCTGCCACAATGCCCTGCTAGTTTTTCTATTTTTAGCAGAAACAGGGTCTTGCTCTTGCTCAGGCTGGTCTCCAACTTCTGAGTTCAAGCAGTCCACCTACCTGAGCCTTCCAGAGTGCTAGGATTACAGGTGTGAGCCAGTGTGCCCTGTCTCAGTTTTTAAATTCTTAACTATAGGTGTATGGCTAGCCACTTAGTTATATATACTTTGTGTCATAATTGTTAAAATACTCCTATAAGGTAAGTAAGTGTATGCCTGTGTTACTCATAAGGAAACTAAATTCATAATGGTTTAGCAATTTATGATTCAAAGACCATGAGCCTTTCATACTGCCTTGCTAGGAGAAAATCAGATGAAATGGGTTTGGGAATGAGACTAGAGTGAATGAATGTTGACATAGTTACTATTAAGGAATTGATTGAAATAGATAAATAAAAAGGAGAGAAGATTGAATGAAATGGGTTCAGGGATGTGAGTAGAGTGAATGAGTTTTGACCCAGTTACCTTAAAGGAATTGATTGAAATAAAAAAGATTGATAAGCCTGTTGAGAGTCAGGCTCAGATAAAAGAAAATAGATATATAGTTTATCTAATCAACATAGTTATATGGTTGACCTTTGAACAATATGGATTTGAGCTGTGTAGGCCTATTTATGGCCTATTTTTTTTTTCAATAAATATATTGGAAAAATTTTTGGAGATTTGTAACAATTTGAAAAAACCTAAGATTAACTGTATAGCCTAGAAATATTGGATACATTTAAAAGTTAGCATGTCATGAATGCATAAATTATATGAACATACTAGTCTATGCTAACATTTACTACTAGAAAATCTCAGCTCTATTATGAAAAGTTTTAAACTTATGCAGACAAA